GAATAATCGAAGAGGCCGCGCATGCCGAGGGCCCCCCACCTGATGTACTTCCCCCCCTGAAGGAGATCTGGCATTCGCCGCGCCAGATGATATGGCCGAGCAGGAATTGGGAGTTTTTTTTTGTTGACGACCCCACACAGTGCTTCACGACGAAACAGGCGTCGCAACTGCTGGACAAAGCTCGAGAAACACTACGTGATGTTTTCCTTGCCTGTTGTGAGTTCGGTTTTCTGCCCAATGCCAACAAACACAAAGGTGCTGATTGCCTTCAGGGGCAAAGGGTGTTGCGCGGCCCGCCTGCAGGCCGATGGCCCCCCTCACGCGACGGTCCGCCTTGGCGACTTTGATTTGAGGTCGACATCGCCGCTGTCCATCGGTTCCTGGGGCCCCAGCTCGCCAGCAATGGAAGCATGGCCACGGAAATCACAACCAGGCGCCAGGCTTCTAGCGCCGTTCTGCCCTCCATACGGAAAGTTGCGACCCCCCGCGCCACGCTTCCAGTGCGTTCCGAAGCCTTATATGCTGAAACCTTGGCGAGCTCGGTTTTATTTTACACCTGCTGCACATGGCTGCAGCTCAAGTTTGGGCTTGACTCCAAAATCAGGCTTGCTCGAAGGATTCATCGCGCCGCGCTAGGACTCGAGAGGAAATAATTCGGAACAGCGCGACTCGTACGCCGACATCATGTTACATGCATCCAGGCCCCCACGCCACGTCATCGTCAGCGTGGGCCGCCTGTGCTTCTTCGCTCGACTGTTGGTGCATGGGCCTCCTCTCCTCTGGGTTTGCCTCCAATACTTACACCATCCCCCTGCTGGCTGGGTGGCGCTCCTTGAGCAGGACATTGCCCAGCTGGCTTCTTTCCTGGATCCCGAGGGCTGTCCTGGAGATGTTTCTCTTTCTTCCTGGCTTCGAACAATCCGCGATGGCCCGCGGAGCTTTGCCAGGCCTGTTAAAATAACTGCGCTGAGAGCGGCGCACTATTGGATGACTGCCATCACCTACAAGCGTGGGGGAGGAGGTTTGAGCAGCATGCTAAAGGGCTCCCGTTGGCTGCCAATGCTCCCCCCGCGCCAGTCTACCCGCGCCCTTCGCGCGTCGCCTGATTTGTCAACCCCAGGGACTTCGGGCCCGTGTTGGCAAATGGCACCCCCCACTTAGCTCCCCCAAGACCTTCGCGACGGGTTCGCTTTGCCTGGTCTGCTGTTTCGATGTTCACGCCCCGGGCAGATTACACGAACATCTGAACCATTCAAAGCGTTGCCTGCGCGCTTGGATCGTCGCCGGTCGGAGAGCCAGCTCGGGGGAGGTTGCCGACGATATGGGGGAATTAAAAAACAAACCGGCAGTTTTGAACAGGCGGCAAGGGCATCAATGCCATCTTGCCACAGTAACGCCGAGACGAGTGCAGTGCGCAGCAATTGCTGCGCCTGGGGCAGGGGGGCCCCTCGTGCCCATTCCCCCCCCAGACCCTGTCGTGGCCCCGTCCCCCAGCCCTGTTTTCCGTCCGATCTGGCCCCCTGCCCGGGCCCGCATGTTTGCGCTTCATTCTTTCGGGCCTCAGGAGGCCTGGCGTTTTCACTGTTGCGTTGAAGAGATTATGTCTCGATTTCCTGGGCAGCTTTGTGTTCTCAGGATCGACGTCATTAATGGCGACGCTCGCGGTGACTTGACTCGGGCTGAGGCCATCTTGCTTTGGACACGCTTGCTACGAGCAGGCCTTGTCGCGGCGATACCTGCAGGGCAGCCCTGTGAGACTTGGCCCATTGCTCGCTTTCGACCGCCCATTCCGCGAGCGGATGGGGGCGTTGACAGGCGCCCCCCCCCAGGCCCCTGCGTTTGAGGGGCCAGCTTTGGGGCCTCAAGTATTTCAACTCTCGGGTGCAGGGGGAGGTCGACCTTGGCAATCGCCTGCTTCGTGCTATGCTTGAGTTTGGAGTGCTATGCTGGCGTCTCGGGGCCCCCTCCATTATGGGACATCCCGCCGCCCCTTGGGTCCCTCCTGAGGCCCCGAGCTCCTGGCGCCCAACTCAGGTGCAGAGGCTCACTGGACAACCCCATGTGGCCAGGAGGTTCATGCACCAGTGCGCCTCTGGTGCTGAGAGTCGCAGGCCCACCCAGCTCTCGTGCATCTATATGCCTGCTATAGGTGCTGCTCTCAACGCGAGGGCTGGTGGAGTTCTTTGCTCGCACCCTCGGGGACATATTGTTCTTGAGAGGGGGGGGGGGGCTCTCATGGGCGCTGGAGAACAGCCGCGGCCAAGGCCTGCCCCGAGGGCCTCTGCAAGGTGCTTGCTCAAGGGGTCACCCACGAGGCCTGGCGCAGATGCCCCTGGCTATTTGAGGACCCCCGCGTGCCCATGCCGCCCCGAAGAAGAAGGCGCAAAGCTTCCAGGCCAGCTCATGGGAGGGCCCCAGGGCCCTTGCTCTTCGCGGGGGCCCATTTGGACCTCCATGGGCTCGAGGGCCTCGAGCGGACCCTTGACGACGACAGAGAATTGCGACAACAACTGTCATTGGACAGTGTGACGGATGGCTGGATACCACAATCGCTTCGACAATATCATTCGCCATCTTTCCATACACCACTGATGTCACGATTCACGGCATGGATAGCATGATACATAACCTGGCGCGAGACCGAAGGAGATTAGGGCTGCCAACGCCGCTCTTGCCCTGCCCTCCTCGACCCTCGCGCTGCTGCTATTTTTGTTTCTGCCGCCTCTTCCTGAGGCCTCTTGCCCTTTGTGTGCTTTAAAACATTCACTTGCGCTGCACCTTGTCTCATCCACAGTTTTCTCACGCTTCGAGCTTATGTGAAGGGCTGATCTGTTCCCAAAACACCATTCCCAGGCCACATTTTGAATGCCCGGAGCCAGCTGTAGGCCACTTCGTGTTCTTCGTGTTCCCAGAACACCACTCCCAGGCCACATTTTGAATGCCGGGGAGCCAACTGTAGGCCATTTCGTGTTCTTCGTGTTCCCAGAACATCACTCCCAGGCCGCATTTTGAATGCCGGGGAGCCAACTGTAGGCCACTTCGTGTTCTTCGTGTTCCCAGAACACCACTCCTGTACCATATTTTGATTGCCTGGAGCCAGCTGTGGGCCACTTCGTGATCTTCGCGTTCCCAGAACACCAGTCCTGTGCCATATTTTGAATGCCCGAGCTGAGGCAGGCTGAGGCCGAGGCAGGCTGAGGCTGAGGCTGAGGCGCGCCGAGGCAGACTGAGGCTGAGGCTGACGCAGGCTGAGGCTGAGGCAGGCTGAGGCTGAGGCTGACGCAGGCTGAGGCCGAGGCAGGCTGAGGCTGAGGCTGAGGCTGCGGCTGAGGCTGAGGCAGGCTGAGAGTGAGGCTGAGGCAGGCTGAGACTGAGGCTGAGGCTGGTGCAGACTGAGGCTGAGAGGCTGACGCTGAGGCTGAGGCAGGCTGAGGCTGAGGCCGAGGCAGTCTGAGGCTGAGGCTGAGGCAAGCCGAGGCAGGCTGAGCTGAGGCTGAAGCTGGGGCAGGCTGAGGCTGATGCAGGCTGAGGCTGAGAGGCTGGCTGAGGCTGAGGCAGGCTGAGGCTGAGGCCTGAGAGGCTGAGGCTGCGGCTGAGGCTGAGGCAGGCTGAGGCTGAGGCAGGCTGAGGCTGAGGCTGATGCAGGCTGAGGCTGAGGCAGGCTGAGGCTGAGGCAGGCTGAGGCTGAGGCTGAGGCCGAGGCAGGCCGAGGCAGGCTGAGGCTGAGGCTGAGGCTGAGGCTGAGGCTGAGGCTGACGCAGGCTGAGGCTGAAGCCGAGGCAGGCTCAGGCCGAGGCAGGCTGAGGCTGAGACTGAGGCTGAGGCTGAGGATGAGGCCGAGGCAGTCCGAGGTTGAGGCAGGCTGAGGCCGAGGCAGGCTGAGGCCGAGGCAGGCTGAGGCTGAGGCAAGCCGAGGCAGGCTGAGGCTGAGGCTGAGGCTGAGGCTGAGGCTGAGGCTGAGGCTGAGGCAGGCTGAGGCTGAGACTGAGGCAGGCTGAGGCTGAGGCTGACGCAGGCTGAGGCCGAGGCAGGCTGAGGCTGAGGCTGAGGCTGAGGCTGAGGCAGGCTGAGGCTGAGGCCGAGGCAGGCTGAGGCTGAGGCAAGCCGAGGCAGGCGGAGGCTGGGGCTGAAACTGAGGCAGGCTGAGGCATCCGTAGGAATCCGTAGTCATCCTTAAGAATCCGTAGGCAGAGTTAAGCATCCTCAGGAATCCTTCGGATTCCTCAGGATTTCCTAGGAATCCTTAGGAATCCCTAGGAATCCTTAGGAATCAGGATTCCTAAGGATTCCGATGGTTTCCTAAGGATTCCTGTGGATTCTTAAGGATGCCTAAGGATGCCTTAGGAATCCCTAGGAATCCTTATGATTCCATTGGATCCTAAGTCATAAGGCCGTTGCCACTGCGACTGTCATTGCGAATGCGACTGCGACTGCGAGAACAGCAGAATTCTACAACTGGATTCTCACATGTGTCTTACGGGGGATGCTTCCAGATATGCTTATACACATTGCTGTTAGGTTGCCTTGCCGGGATATTTGTTCAGCACTCTATCGCACACGATGCTCCAATATATTACGCCATAGGCAGTAATTCTGGTGCGCTCAACTGTGATGCTCGGGGGGTAGTAGGGTAAGGGGGGATTCATCTCACTTGCAAGTCTACGTCGGACTCTAAATAAAGGGCAGAGCAAGTTTAGAGGGATCTCCGTTGCATGTGCTGTCTGCCGCCGCTGCTGCCGCTGCCGATTTCTTTTTCACCTACTTTCCGGATCCCGCTCTATCTCGCCCTATTCTCACATGTGGTTTTGAACTCTTGCCGTAATGCCGAGAGAGAGAGAGGAGGAGGAGGAGGAGGAGGAGGAGGAGGAGGAGGAGGAGGAGGAGGAGGAGGAGGAGGAGAATGAAGCAGAACGTCCCTACGACTCCGCGCCATACCCGGCGGCAAATTGTTGAGGGGAATGACGAGGCGGGATCCTCGTGGCAGGGCTTGGGCGCGCAAGTCAGGTTCATGGTCGGCTACGAGCTGTCTTCGAGCGAGTTCTTCCATACTTGGCGCTCCCAGGGCTTCGCTGATAGCGAGGTGCCCCCCTCCCTCGCCACATGGGGGGGAGGGACATTTGAGATGCAGGAGAAGGATGGGGGAGGAGGAGGAGGAGGAGGAGGAGGAGGAGGAGGAGGAGGAGGAGGAGGAGGAGGAGGTGGCATGATGATGGTGATGCTGATGATGATGACAATGATGATGATGACGGTGACGGCGTGATGATGATGATGATGATGATGATGATGATGATGATGATGATGATGATGATGATGATGATGATGATGATGATGACGATGACGATGATGATAATGCTGCTGATGATGCTGATGATGCTGATGATGATGATGATGATGATGATGATGATGATGATGATGATGATGATGATGATGATGATCATGATGATCATGATGATGACTATGATTATGATTTGGAGGAGGCGAAGGAGGAAGAGGATGGAAGTGTAGGAGGAGGAGGAAGAAGAGGAGGAGAAGCAGGAGGAGCAGGAACGAGGAGGCAGGTCCAGAGGAGGGAGAAGTAGGACGGGAGGGGTGGAGAGGGAAGGGAGTTGAGGAGGGGTAGGGTGGCTCGGGCTTTAGGATTTGGTGGGCAACTTGGTGAGGAAGCTCGCTGCGTCGGCCATTGCCTCACGAACTCGGCGTGCAATGGCCATCTGGCCACTGCACGGAGGAGGAGGAGGAGGAGGAGGAGGAGGAGGAGGAGGAGGAGGAGGAGGAGGAGGAGGACGGGGCATCCTGGGAGCCTTTGGGGACACTCTTGGGGCCTCTTGGGAGTTTCCTGGGAACCTCTTGGAGGCATCTTGGGGGCCTCCTTGGGCCTCTTGGGGGCCTTTTGGGAGCTTCTCGGGGGCCTCTTTGGCCGTCTCAGGGCATTCCTGGCCCGTCCGACGCTGTTGAATGCCGTCTTGGGGGCCTCTCTGGGCCGATTGGAAATCCTCTTGGGGTGCTCCAGGGCCGTCTTGCAGGCCATCTTGGGCGTCTTGGAGGCCTCTTGGGCCGTCTGGGGGCCCTCTTGGGGCCGTCTCGGGAGCCTCTTGGGCCGTTCTGGGGCCGTCCTGGAGGCCTCTTGGGCGATCTTTCTGGGCTCTTGGGCCGCCTCGGGCCGTCGGAAGGCCGAAAAGAAGCAAATGCCAAAATCATTCAAAAACCTAAGGACAAGTCAATGATTTTGACCTCTTGGGGCTCTCTTGGAGTGATGGAGTGATGTGGAGTGATGGAGCGCACCGAGAACATTCAAAGGAGGGCTCTTGGGGAATGACCGTCAGAAGAAGCGACCCTTCATATTTACCGGTGTTGTATGCTTGTGCGCGCGAACCACATTTGCAAGACATCCTCAGTGTGGAGGCCCAAGGTCAAGGCCCCGTACGAGCACGAAACCCTGTCCGATACCGGACGCGGAGTGAAACAAAAACAATTGCACGAGCTACATGTCCTCTGCCGCTACATGTCCACTGATGCTGGTGCGTTCATGGCTGTGCTTCGGACAACGGGAAAGAGAGAGCACGACGGGCAAGGACGAGAGGCGAGGCGAGGGGAGCGGACGGGAGGGACGACAGACAGGAGGGGGGACGACGGAGGAAACGCGAGCGGGAATCAGACGCCGCTGCTCCACGTCGTTCGCGGCCTGCCTCTGCAGCGCTTCGGCTGGGCAGGCAGCTTTGCGTCGGCAGTGCCGCCTGGGTTCCAGGCCGCGACTAAGGTCAACAGCGTGGTCTGTTTCTCCTGTAACTGGGCTTTGCTTTTGATGAGTTCCGTTGCCCATTGCCGGATGGGCTTGCGAGCTTGTGCTGCTTCGAGTCTTGCCTTCAGCTTCCTGTACATGTCTGACCAGTCGTCTGTGTCGAGTTTGACAAACCCCACCATGCAGAGTAACATCTGCCGCTGTGTACTTGCAAGCTTTTCAACGTCGTTCGCTGTCAGAGGCGCCGTCGACAAACCGTACAAGGCTGTCGGCGTGACGATGCTATCGGACAGCTGGGCACGGAGGTCGAAGTCGACTTGCTTGTTTGTCAGGGCCGACCGGAACGCATCGAATTTGGCTCATGCACAACGAAGCCGATTTGAAAGCATAGCTCTGCCTTCCCGCCTCGGATCTTGAGGTTGCCCAGGAAGCGGTTTCCCAAGTATGTGTGGTAATCAGAAGACCTCACTACGTTAATGAAGTCCCCAGTTGTGTCGACGAAGACCTCAGATGCGTTGTCGTGCAGGTCCTGATCCAAGGTGAGGATCCGGCTTTTCTTGGCGTTCCGCTCCAGGCCGACTCGTTGCAGCTCTTCGTTCAGCATGTCGGGCATCTCAGTGAGCTCTTCCAGACAGTTTGCGTAGACAATCAGGTCGTCTGCGAAACGCACGTGGGACAGGCGTCAGCTGCGGCATCCAGGCTCGAGCTTAACGCCGTGGTCGCACAAGCGGGCTTGCCAGCGCCGCATGACCATCTCCAGTCCGACATTAAACAACAGCGGGCTGAGAACGTCGCCTTGTCGAACACCCCTTTTGATGTCGAACATGTTGTCAGCCCCGAGACGCCCAATTTGCTTCCTGTAGATCGCCGACAATATCTTCATATAGGGGCGTGGAACTCCCTGCGCATCCAAAGCTTCAAACAAGTGCGGCCACAAAATACGATCGAATGCCTTCTTCAGGTCTAGGCTCGCGAAGAAAAGGGGCACGTGATAGTTGATCGCCTTGGTGATCACCGTTTCAAGGACTAGCAGGGCGTCTTCTGTGCTGCGGCCCGGCATGAAGCCCATCTGCTCGTCAGACTGTTCTTGGTGGAGCTGGTGCTTGAGGCGGCCGTGGAGAACGCGAGCGAAGATCTTGTACATCACTTTCAGAATTGCTTTCGGGCGCAAGTTGGACGGATTAGACAAATCCCCAGACTTCGGAAACATAGCGAAACAAGTATCATGCCAACCTTCGTCGAGGCGTCCCTGTCGCAATCGTTTATTTAGAGCTGCAGCGAGGAACTGTAGAATCTCTGGGCCGCCCTTGGAAGTCATCTCTAGAGCAATTCCAGATTGGTCCCGGCGCCTGCCTTTTGCCATCTGCTTCACGGCGCGGCTCAATTCCCCAGGCGTGATCGATGGGATTGTGCTCATGTCGGCGTCGTCGAACGTTGGACAGCTGTTGTCGCTCGCGAAGATGTCGCCCATGAACTCTGCCATGTTGCCCGGCGGCCTGCCGGGGGCGGCGTCGCGCTGGAATGGGGGCCGAGACATAGAAGATAACGCAGATATGTTGCGGAAATCGCCGAGAATCTTAACAATCTTTTGGCTTTTGACTCTGCGTAGGTTGTTGCGCGCTGTCCTTTGGGTTCCCTTCGACAACTCTTTCCGTCTCGCTTTGTCCGTGCATGTTTTTTCGCTCGTGCCGCAGCTCCTTCAATCTACTATCATCAGCGAAATCAGCGGCGCGCGGGGGGTCATCGTCGGGATCTGCCTCTGCAACAGAGATTAATATCGCCTCAATGCCTGTCAGAGTTGTAGGTCGCTCCGCCGTTAAAGCCGCTTTCAAATTACAAGAGTAACTGTCTGGCTCAATCCATTTCTGGGCAGGCTTCCGCCTCGATCGCGCGTTCCGGTCTACGGAGCGGCCCTTTTGGACAAGCATTGCCTCGATTGTTCTGTGGTCCGAGCCCATGTCGAGGCTGTCTACGGCATGCGCGTGGACTGCGCGAAAGCCAGGCCCGTGCAAAACAAAGTCGATCTGCCGCTTCACACCCAAACTGCTGGTGAAAGTATACGCCCCTTCCAGAGAGCACCCCCCGCAGTCGTTGGCGATGTGCAAATTGAAGCAGCCTGTGAATCTCCAGAGCTTACCTTCGCGAATGCCTGTATTGAGATGCGTGTCGAAATCCCCACCAATTGTGTAACAAGAACTGAACGACGAGGCGCATCCCGCCGCTGTGGCCAAGCATTCATACGTGTCGTCCAAAGCATCTGCAGGTCTGCAGGGCATCCCGCATGCGGCAAATAGCAAGGTATGACGCTAAATGTCACACCTCCTTTGAGAAGACGCACAGCAAGAACTCGATCTCCCAAACTTTTCTTCGCTACAACATTATCTGCCCAACGTGAATGGCTTAAAACAGACACTCCACCGTGACCCTCGCCCCGGTGGCTTATCAGCTTGTGGTTGCCGTGGAGCTCACACTCTGCCGCAGCGGCCCTTGTCTCACTGAAGCAAACGAAGTCCCACGTCATGCCGTGTAGCTCAGATAGCATGTCTGCCAACCTCTGCGCTGTGTATATACGTGCATTTTTCCAATAAGCCGTCACCCGCAGCGGCGGGTGAAACAATGTGCTCGCCGGGTGCTGTCCCCAGTGGGGACCTTTCTTCCCCTTGCCTTTTCCCGTGTCGGCTCCTTTCCCAGCTGTTCCCCGCTGGAGCCGCCCAGCGTGTTTGGCGAGGAGCTCCTTCCACTCACCGCCCTCCTTCAAAAGCTCCCCGTCCTCAACCGTCGCCTCCACCGCCGCCTCCCTCCCTGGCCTCAAGACGCTCGTGCCCACGTCGGCCCAAAAAGCTGTCCCGCCGAAGCCCCAGCGGACGAAGGAACCTTTCGAACCCGAAGAGCACGGCCCGCGGGGCGCGCGCGTGGACTGGCAGGTCGGGCCTCGCCCAAACTGCTGTGCCTCCGCGCGCGGGTGCGGAGGCCCGCGGCCTCCAGGTTGGAGCGGCAGTGCTCTCCGGTCTCGGCCTCGGCGTGGGCGTCGCCCAGCACGTGGTTTGAGCGGGTTCCGATATCACAGCGATGGACAAACACACACACACACACACACACACACACACACACACACACACACACACACACACACACACACACACACACACACACACACACAATAGGGGGCCACATGCGAACCCTACCCCCTGCCCCCCACGATTTCTGAGGGGGAGGGTGGGGTTCGCTCCGCTCGGGAGGTGGGGTTCACTCCGCTCGGGAGCTCCCGAGCGGAGTGAACCCCACCCTCCCCCTCAGAAGTCGTGGGGGGTATGGGGTAGGGTTCGCATGTGGCCCCCTAT